TTTTGGGGAATAATCAGAAGGATTCACCATTTTCCTCACAAACAGGTGACTGAATTCCTATCTGAATCATGACCACGTTCCTGAGAGACTTTATGACTCTGAGTCATCTGATGTGCTGGAGAGATGACCAGTATGGCTGCACTGCTCACTGTAGGCAGTGGTCACCTGCCGAGGCCTGTAGGATGCTACGTGTTGATGGACCATGTGGATTCTGCTAACTCGATTCTCCCACTGGGATCTGTCCAGCTTGTTTAGCAAAGAGTGTTCTTTCCCATTTGGGCAAAGGAGAGGGGAGCACAGAAATCCAAGCATAAAAGCATAGCATTTCAGCCCTGGTGGTTCTGGCCTTTAACCTCCTTGTTTAGACAAAGCAGATCCAGGTCATAGCTAGTAAGAGGCAGAGCCTAGGGAGAACCTAGGTCTCCTGGAATCACTGAGCAAAGGAGAAGCTACTCGACTCCAAGCCACTGAAAGGGATCTTGCCTAAAGCTACGGCTTGTCTGGGGTGTGGTGGTGGAGGTGGAAGAGGGAAGCCACGCCCAGCTGGTATCCTTCAGCAGTGGGCTCACCTGTAGAAACCCGGAGGGGTCATTCTCTTTTATCACCTCCAGGCAGTACTCCATCAACCCTGTGGACTGGCGCAGCTTCAATGTGCAGTGGTTGATCTGATCCCAAACCATCTGCAATGAAAAGGATCCTTTGGAAACTGTCTTATCAGAGAGTAAGCAGCCGGGCTGCAGTGAGAGTCATAGAAATAACACAAAAGCACATGGAGGAGGTGGCCCTGGTCTGATATGTCCTACACTTCCTCCTCTCTACTGTGCTCCTGAGCGCCATGTGCACTCTCTCCTGGGACCCACTTCCCAACAAGGGGGCCACAATGCCCACCAGAGCAAATCTTCTGAACTCTGGATGGTAAAGTAGACAATGTACATACTCAGAAACCCTCTGCATGACCGGCCACCAGCTTCTGGTCTTGCTTCTGACTTGCTGAGTGGGCTTTAGCTGTTTCACTTCTAAACCATGGATCATTCCCAACATTCATTCCTTCTTTCCTTGAAAGTAATAGTTTCTGATTCAGTTAGGAAATGTCTTTAAAATACATTGCACTCCCTGGACAATGAGCCAGGACTTCATCAATGCAGAGTATTCAGGGGCCCTTGACCCACCCCAGGGACTTAGTATCTACAAGGGAAGGCCCTGTGTGTCCCTTGCTGGAAATTGGCCATATTACTATTACTGATTATTGAATGCATAGGCCATCAGAAAGAACCTGAAGAAGAGGGCAGAGTTAGAGACCTGCAAGGAGCAAAGCCTAGTCACTGTCATGGATCCCCTCTGCTCTGCAAGTCAGGTGAGAACAGGAGGAGGCCTAAAACAGAAAATGAGGACTTAGTAGAGATGGGAGAGGGTGGGATTGTAACTTTAAAACAGCAGGATACAGAGGGTCTGGCTCCAGCTTTGTAAGGACAGCATGGATGTTGATCGGCTTCAGTAAAAGGGGGGCGGGGGCTGTGTCACGGTTGCATTAGTGTAACTAAGCATGGGCCAACCCACTCATCTCTTCCTTCTTTCATTCATTCAGTCATCCACTTACTCAACTACTAGTTACCTGGTGCCTACTGCTTGCTTTACTCAATCCTGGATGCAGAGGATGTAGTGGGGATTAAGTGTATCAGCCATCGTGGTACTTACCTTCAACTTGTGTTCCCTCTCTTTAGTAACCTTGGTGAGCAATTTGGCTTTCTGCCGAGTTAAAGCATCAACCAGGGCATCACACTGAGCAACCAAGCAGGCTTCGTAGTCCAGTCCATTTTCCTAGGGGAAGCAGAAGAGCTTTAGGGAGAAGAGATGCCAAAATTTGGCAAGTGCTATAGATTAAGAAGTATTTCAGAGAAGTTTATCCCAGAATTATTTGTAATTTTATTAAATAGGAAACAAAATAAATATGCTTTAGGGGAGGGGCACTGTGAAATCATGGCCCATCTATATGATGGAATATTCCATAACCATTCAAATTTTGTTCATAGAGAGTTTTTAATGCCATGGGAAATGCTCACAAGAGACTGTTAATTAAAAAAACAAAACAAACAAACAAACAAAAAAACAGGATACAAAGTTGAGTGCAGTATAATCTCAAACATATTGTGTGTGTGTGTGTGTGTGTAAAGTAATCGATGGGGGAAGACAGATGCCAAGACACATGAAGTTTGCCCAGGAGCAGAAACTCAGACGAGAAAGGACCTTCCTCCAGAGCCGACAGAGAGAGAGCCGGCACCCTGAATGTGGACTTCTAGCCTCCTACACTGTGAGAGAATAAACTTCTGTTTGTTAAAGTCACCCACTTGTGGTATTCCTGTTATAGCAGCACTAGATAATTAAGAGAGAATTTATGTCAAAATGGTAAGAGCGGTCACCTCAAGTGGTAGGAAAATGGTGGATTTCTTAGTTTTTCTACTTTGCAAAATTTCTGCTGTAACACATACGTTTGCTTTTCTAATCAGAAAAAAAGTAAAGCCAACAAACAAAAATAGTGCTCTTGCTGTAAGATCTTTCTCATGCCTAAGAAGAATCCCCTGGGGTCTCTAAGATCTGTGTGGTCTCAGACCTTGTGTCTCCAAAACATCAGGAGTATCATGACTTAAAAGGCCTCATAGCTGAGTTCTGCACTGTAACTGGTTAAGA